TCCTCCTCCTCCTCCTCCTCTTTTTTTCCGTACAGGGATTGCACTCAGGATCTTGCGCCTGCCAGGCAAGCGCTTATTCTACTGAGCCGTCTCCCGGCCCTTTTCCCCTTCTTTCGTCCTTTCCCCATCGCAGTTTTTCCTTCCCACTGAAGATTCTTTCCCTTTCACAGGTAAAGGCCATCTTTCTGGTGTCGTTTGGGTCCTTTTTTGTGTTCTGTGTTTCGACCTATGTATTCGTTTTCCTTGCAGCACGGGCCTTACAATATGCTTTGGTTTGGTTTGGCAGGCTTTCATTTGTCCTGACCAAGAAGAGACTGTCATAGCACATTGGATTCATCTAAAAATGAAAGATAAAACTTCTTAAAAATTGGCTCGGGCCTACGGGCCTCACCTACCCATCCTTGACAGTCCTCACTGAGTCGAACGCAGTTATGAACCTGGACGCTATGCCAGCAGGGCCTCCGAGCTGCGGTGTCCCCCAAGCCCAGTTTGTTCCGCGGGGGGAGGGGCGGCATCCCCTGCACCCCACAGTTGCGCGCAACGCAGGGCAGACCAGAGCCCTGCGTTAGACACTCACGGATCCGTGGCGAGAGGAAGCCGTCCAAACCACCAGACCATGGTGGACTCAGAACAAGATCTGCTTTTTCTCAGCAGCTTGTCCAGCGCAGCGTCTCTTAGCACTGCTTTGCTCTGACAGGAGTCACTGCACCCTGTGCCCGCGGGGTTGGACAGCGGAGTAGGCATAGGATGCTTGTAAGGACGGAAGCTTCAGCCCGACCTCTAAGGAAGCTGGATCGCGGTGTGGTGTGGACTCCTGTGCCCGAGATGCTACCCGGAGGTCCCTTGGGTCCACGTGGCCCTGCAAGAGGGCTGTGTCACCCAGGCAGTGCAAGGGAGCAACCACCAGCTCAGCTGCCAGCCCGGGCCTGTGCTGCCCCTGCTACCGGCAAGCATTTATGTCCGTGCTGGGTGGCCGTCTAGGACTGAGATCACAGCGAGAAGCTGGAGCTGATGAGAGAAGGCGAGGCGGGGCAGAACCTAGTGTGCTCACGGAGTCCTGGCATCCACGGAATTTCCGGCTTTATGGTGGCTGCGTTGCGGGGGGGGGGGAGTCCCTTCTACAACACAGAACAGAAGTGGATGTGCTCACAGAGTTGAAGCGAAACCCGGCCCTGTTCTACCTACTCTGGTGATGAAGAGCAAGTGTGTGTTACACCAGACACGGTTTCGTGTTTTCATTTTATGTATTTGATACAAGGCCTCACTGCGCAGCTTGGACTCGTAGTGATCCTGTTTTCAGCATCCCCAGCACTGGGATCACAGGTGAGCAGCCACCACGCCAGGCCTTGGCTGCTGGCTCAGTGCACCCCAGGACCGAACCCTGGTCCCTGCGTTTGCCAAAGCACCTAGTCTGCTGAGCTAGCTTGCCAGCTCCAGATGTTTTTATCATCAGTTTTCCTTTTTAATTTGGATTCTTGAAATGCAGCCTTCTGTGACTTAGTGCAGGACAAATGTGTGCAAGCTGTTCATCAGAAGGACACACATGACCCACTGCACCCTGTGCCCTGTGTCCCAAGAACCAGTGTAGGATTTGTATGTACTTTTAATTCACATTTTAATTGTTTAAAAACTATGTTAACAGAACAGTTATAGAACAGCGCTTCTTACATTTCTTTATTTACACCACACTCTGAAGGAAAAAAAAAAAACCCAGCTCTATTAGATTAACTCTGAATAGCAAAGGTTTGGACGTGTGATTCATTTTTAAACCACCCATCTGAAATTCATTTACAAAGTTTTTACATTAATAAAAAGGTGGTGTGCTACATGTATTAGACTCATATGAAGTCAAAAATACATTGAACTCTGGATAGTAGACTATACACCAACGTTCTAGAAATTCAAGTGCTTGGGGAAGATATGTAAGACGTTCTATGCTGGAGCAGATATGAAACAGCAGACATGCAAGACTTCCAGAATCTTGATATAACATTTTCGTCCTTCAATTTGTGCTCATAGGGAATATTCAGGTTTTTTTTCAATTCCCAAATAGCCCATTTGGGAACTGCAGCAAGTCAATTTGGGAAAAAAATCCCACCCCCAACATCTACTTCCATAAATACTGTGCAGCGGCATCAATGATAACAGTGAAAGAACTTTATGAAAAAACAAGTTGTCATTTTGCATACACCTGCTTCTATATGACAATGACCTGGGCCTAAAGACTCCTTACTAGTAGCTCAGAGAACTATTGTTTAAATAACTGATCTTAACACTAGTGTAAGAGATCGACACAGCTACTTCTCAGACTTTTTTTCTAAACAAATAAGATTTTAGTTTACAAGGTTACATCAAGAGTACTATGTTACCTGGGAGAGAACGTAAAATTTTTAAATTCCCCAAACCACTAATACCTAGGAAAATGTTTATTATTATTATTATTATTTTTTTTTTTTTTGTACTAGGAATCAAACTCAGGACCTTGAGTTTGCCAGGCAGGTGCAGTGCCACTGAGCTGTATCCCTAGCCCGTAAACATTTTTCTTTATATGCAGATTCTAGCATCTTCTATTTCAGTGCTGATTAACAAATGCAAAAATATACAGCCTCCTATTTACAGTGTATTTACATACAAAGGAATTATCCCTTCAAGTAGCCTCAGCTGCATAGATTCTATGGACCGACGAGCTCAGTCCCACGTCCTTCTTTAGAGGAGACCCTGGGGCCACAGATGTCTGCGCCTGTGCGGGCTTTGCGTCGCTTTCCAAGAACTCTCGTGGTTTAGCAGCATTTTTCAGTTGTCAGCCGCCCTGCCCCAATTTGTATCTGAAAGCCTTATATCATTAGTAGAAACTCATTGTATTTTAGAGGATGTGGGGCGGCTACAGAGCCCTCAGATTTGTCATCCCTAAGTGAGCCATTTATTTGTATCGCTAAATGACACCGCATCGTGCAAGGGGCTGCTTGTTTCCCTGAATGTGGAAATTGCGTTCTCAAAGCCTTGCTCTAAGCCTTGAACCATTTAAGCTGAAAGATGGAAGGAGAATGATAGTTTTGACCTAAGGCATAAAATTAATGATCTGATCATCTCACCTACCTCTGCCCCACTGACAGTGCCACCAGCTCTGTCCTGCTGGGATGAACGAAGAGGGAGGTGTCACAGGTCAGTGTGATACCCACATCCCAACCAAGAAAGCTCTGGGGAACTCATTCCAGGCATCAACTTGTTTCTTTTCAGGTTAAGGTATTTTAATACCCAGAAAAGGAAAGAATAAGAAAACTTTTGACCTCTTCAAAGCCGTGAAAAACAGTATCCTGGCGCCTCAGCCCCGAGGGACCCCAAGTGGGGACACGTGCAGATGGAGCCCCCTGCAGGGACCCTCTTCTTCCCCAAGCTCTGCTAGGGGCTCCTTCCAAGGAAGGGCCAGCAGGCAGAACCAGGCAGGTGCGGATCAGTTTACAGGGCTCCTCTCATCAGGGGCCCTGGAGGCGGGGAGCAGCTTGCTGGGCCCGCCCGCACGCACCTGCAGAAGGCCTGGCTTCAAGGCCTGGGTCCCACCCCAGAGGTTGGTCCCCACGTGTGAGGCGTCTTCCGAACAGCGGATGAGTCTCCTTCGCGCCAGTGCACCGCGCTAGCAGCCACCAGCACCCAGGAACGCCAGGAGCAGGGACGGCCTCTGCACGGGGGTGCGGAGGGAGGCCAGTGAGGGCGCAGGTCCCACCGACGGGAGCAGGGGCCGCCGCCGGGCTGCAGACGGCTCAGGCACCAGCTGGGCGACGCCTGGAAGCGAGCAGCCCGCAGGAGACCGCCCTCCCTGCTTCCCCTCTCCTGCCCCCAGGCTTCTGGAAAGTCTTCCTCCCCATCTGGGTTAGGGACAGTGCTTCCTGCCACTGTGGTCACCTCTGACTGGCAGCCCCAGACCCTGCCCCCTGGGCAGCAGGCTTAGGTGAGGCAGGCTGGGGACACAGGGTCCCCCTTCAACGACAAAGGCAGTGACACAGTCGCGGCCATACACCCTGCAAGCTGCATTCCATTTTCCGGCCCAGTTCATTTATGAACAGTTCACTTTTTCTTTTTCAACTAGACTGTGGGCTTGAGTGTATTTTTTCTCACTGGCCTGGGGGCTGGCCTGATGTCTAACCTGGCTTCTAAACGAAAAGAATACATTCTAGGTTGTGAGCAATCAACCACCAAGGCTTTGGGCTCTGATGGCCTCACACCGCGGGGTCCGCCGAGCCTACGAGTGGCCCTTCTTCCTGCGCACGTCTACTGCCCACGTTGTAAGGCGCGAGTCGTTCCGCTCGCTGGAGAACAGTTGTAAACCAGAGAAGGCTCTGGCAGGGCCCTAGCAGGGGGTCTGTCTACCACAGTGAGAGGGCTGCCTCCTGTGGCTGAGGGGCAGCACTCTCTAGTCTAATTTGGCAGGAAAACATCTGAGCATTTGACTGTGCCGCTGAACACCCACCCAACGTCTGTGACGCCCGTGCTTTCCGGCTACTAGCCCACTAGTCTGACAAGAGCAAGAGCAGCACCCTTCACAGCTCGACCCATGCAAGGCTTGCCATCAGCGACGTCTGACCAGTTACACAGGAAACTTCACAGAACATACGAAGGACTTAAAAGCATGTTCTCACATGTATGAGCACTGTGATTCCTCTAAATAAGCATATTTTAAATAATAAATTTCTGGTACAGACACAAAATACAGAGATCCCAAAAATACCCCAGAGTAACAGTGACTTTTCTCCATTCACTGTGTGAATGTTAACAAACTTCAGAAGCAACGAGAAACCAGACGCACGGTGCAGCCTGCGCGACCACCCGGCCGCTGCGTTGCCGAGTGCCCCAGGTGGCCCACAGGCAGCCAAACCGTTCTGCTCAGTCTGTTGTGGCTCGTGCCACACGAACCACCTCTGACAGAGGGGTCCCCTGGCCTAGGACTCACCCCCGTGTCAGGGGGTCCTATCCGACTGCCTGAACTCTGACCCAGCGTAAATGAACTTCTCAGCACTTCCTGAAAAGCTATGCTGATGCAGGGTAGGAAGTAACCTCTTCCTCCCCAAAGAGCATCTGCTGGTGCCTGTCCTATCTATGGGACGAGTCTGGAAAGACAGGGACAGCTCTGTGGTGCTCGGCAGAAGGCCTTCGGGGACGGGCGGAAGGCAGGAAGAGCACCCAGAGCCGAGCGCCTCGTTCTGCCACCTGCCACACGCCATCAGGCTCTGCTCCCCGCAGGCAGCTGCACACCTATTTGGAGGATTCCCCAGAAGGTGTACAGACAACAGTCCCCTGCCGAAGGACACACAGGCCTCAGACATCCAGCAGCAGCAGAGGCCAGTTGGGGGCAGTGTCTGCTCCTTTTCCGTCCCCAGATGCTGGTCCCCCAGGGACAGGAAGAGACTGCAGGAGTCAGAACGCTCACTGATGCCCTCTAGGCCTCCCCACGGGGGAAGAGAGGTGTACAGCGTTCACAGCAGACGTTGTTCAAAAAGACCATCTCAGAGCTCATTTTTAAGACTAGATGAATGAAGAGTGGAGGACCAACAGAAATGAGGCTTATGGAAGGTACAAAAATCTTGTATTTATAATAACCTATAGATATAAAATAAGTCTTTTAAAGACTCCCCTAAAATACTCAATATAATACAGGAACTGCTTACCCAGGTCATCTTCAGGTACACACTATTCCCCATTGCTAAAAAGCTGGAAGGACAGCATGCTGCTGGCCTCTCACTCACTACGCATTTTCCCTCTTCTAAATGGCAGATGTAAGGCTGCAGACCATCAGAGTCTGAGGATGTTCCCTCACCAATTTGGGACCTTTTTCCGGCAGGCGCCCTAGGTCTCCCCCTGTAGGAGACTGTGACACAGGCTGATGCCAATTGGGAAACGAAGCTGCACTTGCTAGACTGTCCGAAAGTGCAGTTTCAGACAATTACCAGCGCAGCAGGCCCGCCCATGCCCAGGGAGGATGCCCACACGCAGGTCCTATCAGGAGCAGGCTATGGCACCATGGACAGCCTGGGTCAGAGATGCCTCAGAGACTGGGCCTGCCGGGCCCAGCTGCAGCACGTGCCTCTGGCTCTCGTCCCTGTGTGCTGTGTTAACCAAAATAGGCAAATTATTTACGAAACCATTTTTTCCTGTAAAGCAAAATAAATATATACAATTCAAGATTCTCTCTTCTAAAAAGGTATAGATACTTGAGCTGAACATCAGTAGGAAATTATTTCAGGATCTGGATGTAAAATAAACATGATCATGTTTATAAAGTTCTAAAAGATCAGGAAGCCGCCAAACACAGTTAGGAGAATGAACATAATTGCTTGTGAAAAGGACTAAAAAAGTGATTCTATGAAATCTGGGAGGTGGGGGGGTCCACAACCCTCAGACCCCAAGTCTCAGAGGGCCATGGGTCACTATATAGAGGTTTCTGTTCTGAGCCCAAAGTGTAATTCTATTTTAAGTATCTTGCACATTTCCGCTGGCTTCTGTAAGCTTTGAAAACAACTGGTGAGGGCTTGCTGATGTGTGGTGACTGGATGAACAGCGGACCAGACAGAAGGCTTTCTCTCCTCGGCTCGTCTCAGTTGCATCCCTTTCCGCTGGCTGAGCAGGCCCAGTCATAGATGACCAATGGAATGCTGATCAAGGAGAACAACACCCCCAGACCCAAGAACAGGGCAGCCTGCAGCAAGAAAAAGGCACAGGTTATTTCTAGTGCAGCCAGCAGGTTGTACACATACCTGGGTTAAAAAACAGAACCACCCTCCTTGTGCCCCTTGTATCTGAAGTTTGTTTCAACCATTGCTGAGCAGCGAGACTGTCAAACTGACTCTGACTACAAGAACACACAGGTACGAAAGTGGCTAAGCGAGCACAGCTCCACACTCTGTCCTGACGTCGTGGTCACCTCGTCTGTTCTCGCCAGTGGGTGGGTGTCCTTACAGCCTTCCCTCTGAGACTAAGACTTGAGAGAAAGGGAGGGAGGGAGGGAGGCAGGCTAGGCCAGCGAGTCTGGGAAGCGCCCAGGCATTTGTTCCTTGTGACCTAGCATCCTAGATGACCACAAGGCAAACATTTGTTTGAAATAGTCAAACAAATACTGCGTGTGGAAATATGACTAATTTGACCAATGAAATGGGAATAGGTGTGCAAATCCAAGTTCCCTGGAGGGCTGGAGAAGGGCTGGGTGGATGGAAGACAAGGTCCAAAGTGAGATTTTATTCTCAGTGTCTGTCAAAGATATGCAGCATAGCAGCATGGGATGGGGAGGCAGAAGGCCTAGCAGTGCAAGGATGTGCCAAGGAGCTGGAGCTAAGGGCACAGCTGGCGGCACATGGTGTGGATGGAGTGACACGGCACTGCTGGCCGGGACAGAGCCCTAGCCCAGCGCTGTGAGAGCCTCAGGCTTAGCATCGGAGTGGGGGGAGGGGCCCAGAGAGTCCAGGGCCATTGGCCCCCTCCTTGGCAGCCTTAATCTGATGCACTGCCTACAGTGCTGCCCCGTGGCTCCTTCCTACAGGCAAAGGGGCCAGGCAGAGAGCTCAGTAGAATGAGCGCTTGCCTGGCAAGCGCAAGGGCCTGAGTTCAATCCCTGGTTCCAAAAACAAAACAAAACAAAAAAAGGCTTGGGATTGACGGCTGCAGGGAGCCTCCCGGGAACCAGGGCTGGGCTGCCGGCACTGCTTTTCTCTCCCCGGGGTCTGCTGACTGGCACCAGCAGCGAGTGCAGCACTCACACTAGCTGAGAGGGACACCGGGAAGCCTTCTCCGAGGCCGAGCACAATGCACTCTAGAAGGACTCGGCAGCAGCCACTGCTCCTTGCTCCCTTCACTGTCTCGAAGTGCACCACCCTGAGATGCCCTTGAGCTTCAGCAGACCTGGAAACCGGAATCCCGGTACAGAAGGGTAGTTGCTGAATCCAGGTCTGCTTGTTCCAAAAATCTGTCAAATCCTGAAAAGATGCTAAGCTAATTCCAGGCCTTTCAAAGGGGTGCTGGGGGTGTGTGTGCCCTGGGCTGTAAGAAGCTGCCATCTAACTAGAAGCCACACAGCAGCAGGGGACTGCAGCAGCCTTGGAGCACCTCTGTGTGCCTAACTGGTGAGAGTGCGGCAGGCCCTCAGGACACTGGAGGAGAGGCTTCCCCCCACGCAGCTGGCCGCGCTCTACAGCACAACAAAAGCTAAGGTCCAGTAAAGATGAGGCAGGAAAGACATTCGGAGGAGATGGAGAAGGTTCTGACCCGAAACCTTCTGTCACCCCAGGGGGAAGCTATGGGCTAACGCCTCGTGTCGAGGCAGCAGAAAGTAGCAGCAGAGGGCAGGCAGGCGGACCACTCGTTGGCTAGAGTCAGGGGAGAACTAATCAGAAACACATGCGCGGCGGGCAACACATTACCCAAACTCTCTGAGTCCCTTTATCTCCATCCTGGTTTGTGATCTTTAGATAAAGAGACGATGGAAGAATGAAAATGAGCATATTAGCAGACGTCACTCCTGCCAAGAAAAAAGGAGAGAGAGTTGGGGGCTGGTATTTTGAAATTTTAACTTTCAAGAGCTACTATGTGTCATAGGCAGAGCAAAACAGACGCACCTACAACCCCGAAAATGTCCTTCATGGACGGGATGAAGATCACCAGCAAGTTGAGAACAACCAGGAGCGTGATGGTAACCAGGACGTGGCGACACAAGTTGAACTTGGTCTTTTTCGCCAGTTCAAACAGCGAAGAACGAACCTGCAGGAAAAGAGAACTCCAATCCCACCAGCGCCTGAACACACAAGCTGTCGCTCTGTGCAGCAGCTGATTTATGATGGCCGGGAGTTTGTCAAATGCTATGTAGGGCTGGCAAATTCAGAGGGACTGTCACAGTTTTAGAAATGAGGGCGGTTGACTTCAGCTGGAAAACATCTTACTATACAGAGGCTGATCAAAATATATAGTAAGTGTTTACATTTTTTAAGACATTTATTATGGGAAAAAAACAGATTACGATCAGCCCCCTGAACACACTCCTTGCTCCGCACACTTCTCCCATGGTCCTTGCCACTGTCTGAAGCGGTTCTCGGGTCCTCTTGAGGTCTGATAAACAGTGCAGTGAACGCTGCCACTTAAGTCACTGGCAGCACTGACGGAATGGCGGACTTGTGACACCATCACGCTGCGTCCTCAGCCGCCTCAGTTACTGGCCTGGCACCACGCAACTGCATGTTCTTCCCCGAAGTCAGAATGACATGGCAGGTAAAAGCTCCAAGTGGATGGAGGATGTCACGGCAGCACCGACATCCCACCTGGAGACACTCATGAAGGAGGACTTCTGGAACCACTTTAGAAAGTGGCGAGCACGGTGGGGTAGGTATGTGCAAAGTGAGGGGGACATTCTGAGGAAGATTACTGGTGCTGTAATCTTTTAATTTTATTGTAATTATTTTTATTCAAAAATTAACACTCACTGCATTTTCTGATCACCGCACTTTTCACAGTGGAACAATTCGCCAGGACTCAGACTCTGTCCCGGAAGCTACACTAACTCGCCAATCCCAGGCACTGCCCAGGGAGCATGGGTCCCTGGCTCTTTTCCCAGGTAGAGCAGACATCCAGAGAGTCACCTATGAGCAGCTTTCCCTGGAGCAGACTCCTGAGCGAAGAAGGAAAAGCGGAGCCCAGCTTTTCGCAGGGTGCACTGAAGCTTTTACTCACCGTGAAAAATAACACTGGCACTGTGAGGATGACAGCGACAATGACAGCCAGCCGCACCGTCAGGATGAGAATATCATCTTTGCTCTGGTACTTGTGAAGGAGGTCTGACTGCACACTTTCTAAAACAAGGGAGAAAGAGGGTTGAAAATGAGGTAAGTGTGGTACAGAATGGCAGCTTTCTGCACAATCGAGCATTTACAAACCACGGGGCCAGGAAGGGAATGTTTGGAAGCAGCTATTAAAATGTTTTAAAAAGTTGAAAGAAAAATCCCAGGGGTGGGAAGCCTGCCCACAGCACCTGAGCGATGGCTAAGAGGAACTTGTCTTTTATGCTAGTAATACTCGCAGCTGACGCGGAGGCCCTCCTAACCCAGGCTTCTCCATCAGAAGCTGCTTCGCACGCAGGCCATACCAAGCAGGGACCTCTTTTTTTTTTTTTTTTTTCTTTTTTGGCAGAACCAGGGATTGAACTCAGGCCCTTGCACTTGCCAGGGAAGTGCTTATTCCACTGAGCCGCCTCCCTGGCCCCAGGGACCTCTTCTTTCAAATGCTTCCTGTCACCCAAATTTCAGTGGCCACACAAAAGAGCCACTGACCTAACTCCACCACCAGCAGGAAAGAATTCTATCATAAAAAGGCATTCTGTGTAGCTACCACTTTGAACTTTTCTCAACTTAGAAATTCAGAAAATGTTACTTCAAGGACCACCAGTGCTGGAATGCTAGTCACAAAGAGAACACAAAATGTTCATTTCTGGAAAACCATTTGCCTTCCGGGGTCCTTTCCAGGGATTCTCACTATACCAACCTCAAGTTCCTGGGCCTCTGAACCAGTTTCTGAACAAAGACTGACGTATATAATAAAACTCTCATTAGTGCTAATTTTCTTAATTCAAAATTCACAACCACTTAGAAATAGCTGATCCCTTTTCTTTCCTGTAAGAATATAGAAGGGTTTGGTGTCCTGTTTTATGCGGAGACATAGATGTACGAAGAGAAACTAAGCCGAGCGGAGGTGTGCTCCTTCCGGCAGCACAGCTCCCCTGCTGTGGCCCTGCTCCGCCCAGCCCTGGGGCCCTGCAGGCAGGCAGGGTGCTCAGGGGCTCCACAGGGCCGGCTGCTGCTTCGGAGAATGATACAGCTGGACAGAGCCGCCTTTCTCCCCAAGTTGGATTAATCTTTCAATGTAATTACATTTTGAGACAATTATTTATAAAGAAAATGCCCCAAAGAAACATTATTTAATAGAGGAGACCATGAAATACATTTATTTAAATTAAGAACCAAATTATAATGCTAAGGAAAGATGCTAAAGTTGCAAGACCATGTGAATAAGAGGATAAGAAGTAGCAAAAGCGGGTAAGCCTCTGAAGTAGGGTAAAGCAGTTACAAATGAAACCCTGGGTTTTTTCATATTTCTTTTTAACTTTCTAGGTCTTTCCTTTCGGTCTTTGTAAGGCTTCAACTTCCCGTGCCCAATTAAGTGTTTTGTTTTTAATTAGCACCGACTGTCATGAGTGTAACACCCGCTCTTTCTCACTTTCAACTTCTGTCTTTGTCTTTCTTTTCTATTAATGGAATGTGACCCAGTTTGCAATGTCAGTTAGGAAAGCTTTCGCTGGTGTGGTTTAAACTTTGCTAAGAAGGCATGCTTCAAAAATGCAGTTTCCTTTAAGGATACTATCAGGAGAGAAACACACAACACAATGTTTGGGTAATTATCTTATTTTGCAGTTTGCATGAATATATAAAAGGAACCACTATAAGAAACAAATACCCAACGGGTAGCTTTGTTGCTCTCCCGGACCTCCACATGAACAGTCAGAGTGATGCTAACTTTTAAGAACATATTTACTGATACCTATCTGTACATACCCCAGAAGTTACTTACCATAGAATGTCAGGTAGCCAAAAATGGCAGTCAGGAAGTACATAACAAACATGGCAAAAAAGGAGATATTTGAAACCATCTGCATTTTTTTCTGGGATCGACTAAGAAAAAAAAAAAAAAAGAAATTTGAAAAATTAAAAACAACATGGCTGAATGGAAACTCTAAGGCCAGTACTTCAGAGTACACTGACTTTCCCTGTCACATGAGGGGTGCTGAAAGTCACTCCCAGCAAGAGGATGGCTGAGGTAACTTCCTTAGTACCAGGTAGGTGTTGGGAGGCAGATACCACGAACTGTACTCCTCAGAGTGCTCTTAGCTATGGCTTTAAAAAAGTAGCATGTTCTCATCTGAGATGCTCACAGTAATTTTTAATATTTGTGTTTCCCCTGCTCCTCACACAGGCAATACCCAGGAAAAGAGGCAGAGACAGCCCAAGTGCTGTCCTCCCGGGCCCACAGCACAGCAGGGTAGGAAGGCGCCCCGGGAACCCTACCTTAAGCTGTTCCTGGGCTCTGAGCTCCCTACGCGTAGCCCCAGGACATACCCGAGGCCTGTGTCAGGGCAGCCGGTGCCCACGGCTGGCCCCCAGGCCCATGCACTCTGGGGTTAGAATGACTTTCAATTTTACCTAATGGGTCCCATAATTGATTAATCCACAAGAGCTGTACTCCACAAAGGACAAAGACAGTCATGTTGCTTGTGTCCTAATAGGGTCTGTGACATCAGGGTGCAAGGAAATACAACGCCGAGCTAGGAGCTGGCAAGGAGGCGAAGAGGTGCCAAGACCTGTGCACCCTCCTGAAGCGCCGCTGACCCAGCAGGATGACACGCAGGTGTCGCCAGGTGCCTCAAAGTTGAGCTATGCATCGATTACATGCGAAAGAAGAATTCAATGCTGAGTGACATCAACTTTTTAAAAATCTCAAAATGTAAGTAAGCAGCTCAGCTTCTGAGCTTAAGCTCTGGTCATCAGGACAACGTGCGCAGAATCAAGTGTGGCGCAAGCAGGCCTCCCAGCGCTCTGAGCTCACAAGCAAAAACAAAGCCATCTAAATGACCGGAGCTGAACTTTTAATTCCAGTTTGCGACTATAGCATTCACTTCCTATCATTTGATTTTCCAGCCTTTTCCACCCAAACCAACAAGCAAGTCAGAGACACTGCATCTTGTGGCTCACAGATCAACCCAACGATTACCATCCAGTTGTAGAATAAGCCTAAGCAAAAACCAACACACATACTTGAACACTAATATAGTATAGTATTCAAAAAATGAAATAAATTAAAAAATCTACATGGTGGGACACTTCATTTATGGCCCAGAATACGGGGGGTTCTGACTCTCCTCCCTGCAGCGCCTACTCAGGACAGGCGGGCGCTAGCAAGCGCTGCGCAGGCGCTGGACCCGCGCAGGCGCCCCTCGCGCATCTCGGGTCTGACCCGGAACTCGCCCGCGGAGGCAGAGGCTTAACGGCAGCTAAGAGATAAACACCGCGTCTCTTACTCCTTCAGCTCGCTGTAGATGGGCAGGACTGACGGGTGGCACACGAAGGCGAAGGCGATGGTCGGCAACGCATACACGGTCTGTTTGAAGAGAAAAATGTGAGCACTAAGAAGAGATGTCTATTTTTCAATCTGACAACGCTTCAGAATCCCTGCATTACTTGTGTTTAATAAGAGAATTCTGGTCATGAAAACAAAAGCAGTTTTTCCAAGAGGGCTTTTCCAGCTCGGGCCCGGGGCACCGATCACACAGAGGACTTCAATCTGGAGCCCGCAGTGTTTTGGAAGCACCAGCACTTCAATATCCAGGCTTACGTGGCGCCTGCCAGTGACGTGGCCCTCCTCTCCACATCTGCTGGCCCACCACAGCCCACAGAAACAGTCAGGTCCGGGCTGTTCTCCGCTGCCGGCTCCACATCAGGCAGCGTGGCCTGGACCTCCGCCTCTGCGGACCGCTCCTGCTCCAGCAGCGGCAGCGGAGTGCGCAGAGCGCGGGATGTGGTCGCACGCCCCTGCCTCCCTGGTTACTGAGGAGGATTTGGCAGAAGGATCCCTTGAGCTGGGAATTCAAGACCAGCCTGGGCAACTCAGCGAGACCCTGTCTCAAAAGCAAAAATGCTTAAAACACAGCATCTGAAAGGAAAATCTGTTACAGAGCTTACACTTTGCTTTGGTCTCTTATAATTAAAAGTGAAAGACACACAGAGACACAGAGAGAGAGAGAGAGAGAGAGAGAGAGAGAGAGAGAGAGAGACAGACACACACAGAAAACAATTATTACTCTTAGATAAGATTTTAAAATTCAAATTCAATGTAACTTCATGTAAAAAAAAAAAGCTGGTAGAGAAGTGAAGGTCACATGCAATTTTGCTGAGGTGATGTAATAAGTACCTTTCAATAAAACTCTGGAAGACCTAGACTAGCACCCATGGCCACAGGAGGGCTGCAGGTGTTAAGGGTTAAATCCCAGCCTGACTTGCCGCTCAGGCTGCTGATTCCACACTACCAACCCCGTCTTCTTCCCCGCCCTCCTCCTCCCCTTCCTCCCTCCTTCTTGTGGTACTAGGAGTTGAACCCGCTGACGCTGCATGGAGCTATATTCTCATCCCTCTAAGAAAATGTCTTCTTTTTATTTTGAGACAAGATCTTACAAAACCGGAGTTGTCTGGCCTGGGCTCACATTTGTGATCTTCCTGCATCAGTCTCCCAGGGTGGCAGGATTACAGGCATGTGCCACAAAGCCCAGCTTAATGGTATGGAGCTTTGTAAGTGCTTATTTGTGGTGCTAAGTATCCACTGTGCAAGCTGAGGCAGTCTGCAGTGTTTCATTCTGTCTCCACCCTATAAGGCTGAAGGTGTTATTAATCTGTTCTTAAAACATCACCTAAAAAAGTAAGTAAATAAATAAATAGAAATTAAAAAAAAAAAAAAACACAACAAAAAAACCCCATCACCTAGTACTCTACACAGGAAGAACTGAGACAATTACTATGTGGAAAGAGAATTGCAGAGAAAGCCTGAGGCTGTCATAAGCTTGGTAAAACATCTGTGCGTTCCTCAAAGGCCTCTGAACAGGATGTGGAGCAGAAACGCGCCGTGCAGCGCAGTTGCACATTCACAACGGTGTGACCAGAAGCATGACAGATACACGGCTCTAAATAAAAACGCTCACTTTATCTTTAAAGGACAGGAACACATACCTTTGTTTTTTGGATTTTTTTTTTTTTTTTTGGCGGAACCGGGGATTGAACTCAGACGCTTGCACTTGCTAGGGAAGGGCTTACTTCACTGAGCCACCTCCCCGGACCCAAACACATACCTTTGAATTGAAGGTGACATACTTCGGTGTACACATACTTGTTGAATTAGCACTTATTGTCGAATTTAGCTGTGGAAGAGGGCAGGGAAGCTGAAATTTCTTGTAGATAACCTGGTGTTAAGAACAGAAGAGAAACAGCATTGATTTTATTACAACCAAGTAGTAATAATTACTGCATGGCATCGTGCTGTGTCACAGCCAATCAACAGTCTCACTTACCACAATTAGGAAGAAAACCATGCAGCTCAAGGAGAATCCACTAGTGTAGCCAAGATACCCTAAAAAGGAACAAGTAACTGTGGTTACCACCCATCCCTCCCTCTCCTCCTTGGTGCATCACTTCGAGCACAGCTTGGACTTTAACACACACATACTCAGGCCACCGTACAGATCTACTTGTTTATTAGCTGAAGGGTTTTGAGGCGCTCTGGCGAAGGCCCCACCTCCGCACTGAGCTCTATCCTGTGCTTATTCTGCTGTGATGGGGTCATGCCAAGCAGGCCTGGCTGGGCTTGCCCATGCAGTGCCCGCCTCAGCCGCTGGAAGCAAGCTGGGCTTACAGGTGAGCACCCCTGTGCTGGCGGGGGGGTTGGGGGTGGGGTGATCTCACGGCGATGCTGTGTTTGGTAGAAAACAGGGTTGGAAGGAGGGCATAAAGCGTGCCAAGGCCAGCGCCTCCTGCCCACTAGAGAACGTGGATTCCTAGAACCCAGGGAGAGGGGCCTCCCAGCAGGGGCCAAGTCAGTGTCGCAGGACCACGATGGAGTTTCCCGGGCAAAGCGGCTCGCTCCCATCCTCTCCAGGGAACTTGGCGCGCACTCACTGAACGCTGGCTGTACAGCTTCCCTGCCAGGTGCGGGGCCTGCAGCTCAGTGCTGCTGCCATTGCTACAGAGCGCAGCGAGCGAGCCCGGGGTCTTCACTCCCCCAAGGGTGCCTGGGAGGGCTCCTACCGAGCTGCGTGGCCCGCAGCCTCCTGGGAAGGACCCCTCTGCACACTGGACAGAGCTACTTCTCTGCACAAGGATGAGGCCTATATATGGACTCAGAAGTCAAAAAGAACTTTTAAAAATCTACTTACAAACTCTGTAGACAATCAAAATCTTACATTTCTAAACCAAAACCAAACGAAACAAAATTAAAAGCCTTGTGGTTTATAATCATTTTTGGAAGAACATAATCCACACTTCTACCTTGAATTAAGCCAGATTTAAAGGAAATGCATCTCAGGGGCTGGGGGGGGGGGGTGCGCAGGGTGTCCCAGCCTCTAGGGACAGGCCCAGAAAGCAATGTCAACACAAATGGTACGACTCAGCCTGGATATCAGCTGTCATTTTAACTTTAAACTTCACTCTCTCTCTTGAGATTTAGCTTGGCTAGACTCTAAATTTATGAATGACTCATATACTTTCTGGGTATAAACTTAAGCAACTTTCTCGTGGTATCAGATTTAGAAACCTGTCTACATAACCAGACTACTGAAGCCCTCAGAGGAGAATTCCATTTTCCGGAGCAGTTTTAGAGCAGGCTGCGTGCTGAGACTACAGACCCTACCCGGCCCCAGGACCCCCGCCCTTCCAGCTGGGCAGAGGGACGGCTCTGGAAACCACACACAGACCAGCGCTCACTCTATTTTCTGTGCAGGCTGAAGACTGAGCTCAGGGGGTCACCGCTGAGCCACATTCCACCCTTTTTATTTTGTATTTTGAGACAGGGTCGCACTCAAGTTTCCAGGGCTGGCTTTGACCTTGGCATCTTCCTGCCTCGACCTCCCCATCAGCTGGGATTCCATCTGACAGCGAGGCCAGGCCTGATTAATACTTGTAATTTATAACTCACTTAATTATCGCCCTACAAGTGGGAACACAAGGCAGAGCAGTTCATGCTGACGAGGTTTCTGATTCATCTGGGCCCTGGAAACACTATGCCGAAGCCAAGACCTTGCTTTACCTAAATTCTTCAAGAGACACAGAGGGAGAATTATGCCGAAGGTCACCATCACCACCAGAAGCCGGCCATCCACGTACCAGGCCCTGAAAGGCAGGGAATCAGCCAGGTTACAGTTGTCTAGAAAGTGACATTTCCCCTTCAAATGTAAAATTGCAAAACATATTTTAGTAAATTTTATGACTGATCTTACCATCATGATTCAATCATTCTGCAGGTTTTGTCCAGACTAAGCCCAGCCCTGCTGCCTCAGGCGTGTGTAATGGAAGAAGGGGCACTGTCTCTTCCCCCCTCACTGGCTGACGGTGGCCTTCCTCTGAATTATTTACGGTTCCAAAGCTGAGCACACACATCGCTTTCTGTCAGACTACAACTTGTGCTAACAATTATTGAAGGAGAAAGTTCTCTTTCGTTTAGTTTGGTGAGCACCCCAGAATTGAGCCCCCTCAGGAGGCCTGTCTCCCCTGATCTGGTGGGTCTGACCTGGAGTCCCCAGGCCAGAACACTGGGAACTCTGGTTTCTACACTTCTCCCTTGAAGGAAAACAGAAACCAACGCTGACAAGAACTGTTAAACAAGACAGAGTGCAAACGAAACGGTGCCAGACAGAGTGGCAGTATTTTCCAGGGTTAGCTACAACCTTAATGAGCTTCAGCTCATACAAATTCTGCTCCACAAGTAACACTTAAGGAAGAGGCTAGGGTCTTTTAATTTTTTTAAAACATCATCTACTTCTACCTCAAAAAACCAAAACTCTTTGATAGGTTCTAGCCCTAGTACAAGTTGCTAAAATCATCATGGCGGTAATCTAATATGGCTAAAGCCCTTAAAACAAAGCCCATCCCCTCAAAACCACTTCCCACCTTCTTCTCCAACTCAGCCCAGGATACAATTTCTTTCGACCCTTCCTGCTGTCTCAGGGAAGACTCCCAATCAGCTCCCTCAGGTGTATCTAAACATCCCCTCCAAACTCTACCCCTGGCAAAGGCCATAAAAGCGTCCCTTTGTTCCAATCCAGAGAATCCCTCATCCCTCCCCACGTTCTCTCCGTGTCCTTAAAGAAAATAAAGCCCCTTTCCCTTTCCCTTCTGCCTGTTCCTCTGCTGGGCCGAGTACTTGAAGAAACCTATCACTCTTTATCTGTCCCACCTGACAGAAATTAGAGATTTCAGGCTCCTGGGAACGTGGACTATCTGCTGTTCACAGTACAGCAGATAAGCCTACTTCTGAAACGCTCATATTCATAGGAGTCCAATTTTTTTTTTCCCGGAACCGGGGATTGAACCCAGACCCTTGCACTTGCCAGGCAAGCGCTTATCCTACTGAGCTATCTCCCTGGCCCCCATGAAACGCTCATATTCAAAGAGTTCCTCGTTTCTTATTTATGTTACCCCAAAGAGATTTACTGTTAGAAAAACTGTGTTTCTATAATTTTCATTAGACAAAAACACTGGCTGGCCTGCATGTAAACTGAAACGTAGTTATATCCCAACAGAATGTAACTTACGAAAATTTCTCTTCCTCTCCCATTAGAAACTTTATGGCAGCGGGCAGCTCATTCCTTACGATGAAGAGGTAGCTCAGCATTGCTGGAGGGAACGGGACAATACAAAGGCTCAGCGTTGCAAGCTACATGCAAGGGATCAACCTGCTGGCTGACGGACCCTCAGAGGTCACCAAGGCAGCGCAGGCTGTCGTCTGCCTATGCTCTACCTCTCACGTTCCACTGTAGCAACAAGACCGCTACTGTCGGAATTATACTGAATTTTACGTGGCCAGCCAACAACCGGAACGAGAGGACAGCACCATTACATCCACAGAGCAGTGTGTTGAAGCTGTCCAGAGAAGCGCCCGCCTACCTCCGATGTTCTGCAGAGCAGTGGCTCCGAAGATGACCAGCTTCCCCGTGGTACCGAAGACCTGCTCGCCCAGCTTTTCGTACACCATGCAGCCTATGTAAAAACAAAGTCAGAAGACCCAGAAACCTCGAGGTTCTAAAGTAAAAACAGCCCCCTTTCACCACTGCCCCCCTCCCTGTGTTGCTTGATACTTTCTCAAATTCGGGTAAACAGCCATCTTGGCTCTGCTAGAGCTACGGTGCTGCCACAGTGAGGCCACCATCCTGACATGTTACAATGTCACACATGACTACTATTTCTCTTTTTTGTACTGGCGACAAAAGCACGAAGTATTAGGTCATAAGGCTTATTTTTAACTGTCTCTATCTTGGGGATGGGGTGTGGATCTGGAATCCCACCTTGATCTTTTTCTCAAATTTGGTGTGTACCCCTGAAAGAGATCTGATTTTTAAGAGAGCCTGAAGTTTGCAACAAAAAGTTTCCTATTGAATTAACTACCTGAACTCATGAGGCTGCTGAAGAATTCTCTTCATACCACTCGAACAATCCCTTTTGTCCTGAATACTACAAACATCTCATCATCACCACATAAGAGTTCTGATCATTTGTAAAATTCAGCTCAAAAATACGCAACTCCCAAAAGAAAGCAGCAGACAGGTCTGTGCAGCAGGTAATCTGGTCATGGCAGAGTTCTAACGTGGTCACCCAGCTCATTTCCACAGAGCCTAAAATTCTAAGCCACTCATTGCAAACAAAGCCTCAGTCTTGGTATTTCTATGACAGCTCAGCTCACGTTCTCCAAAGGGTCACAGGCAAGCAGGGTGGGCCAAGCTATAATTAAGCCTTTGTTTGATCTCCACTGTGACTGCTGTTTAAAGGAGACAATGGCTAGGTCCTGAGTTCAGCACAGCATGTTCCAGCCATCTGTATACAGTAACAGCTGGCCAAGGCGGCTCTCGCTAGCGGAAAGGGCAAAGCACGGCAAACATAACCCAGTGTCCCAGGAATCAAAAATAAGCACGCAGGTGTCGCGCTGCCCAGGAGCTGGCCACTTCTGCCCACAGTCTCAGGAGGAAGACGTTCTCCTCCAAATACGCACAAAGGAGAAGCAAAGGTGTGTGTGCTGCTAAAACCTTGGCAGTCATGATATGAAAGCATGGGGTGTTTGTTTAGGGTTTACGAAGACCCAAGGAAAAGCTGAAACCTTTACAAGGAAGTCATCTTGAACTAGAAAAACGAGCACAACTGATGTTCCCTGCCAACAACGCTGTTCGCTCAGTCCATGAGGATTTAATTTAAATGTTGCTGTCAGTTTCTGTAGGTAAATACACAGTAAGTCTCCCAGTAACTGTAGATGGAAGTCTTCCTTTTTAATCATCAAGTTGCTCAACAGAGAGAACATCGAGTCACAAAACTGGCATGAAAATCATTCACCCGGCCTTTAATAAAATTAGACACCTTCTCAACTTACCTGTTTCCTTAGAGCAGATCAACAGCAGGTTTATTGAATATATAGACAGCAATGTCACTGAAGTCAAAAGTATCCTACAGTAAAGAAAATGAGTCGTGTTAGAGTAACTGGGAAACTATATTCTGGCCTTGCTTTTTTGAAAGGTCTATTTATACCGTTAACAGTACATAAAATGTGGAACCTATTAGTCACCCTGCTTGGGAGCTTCAATAAAGTGCTCATTACAACCTGAGTCACTATAGCAGCTCAAACTGTTCCGTAATTCAAAGACCAAGTAGCTCTTGGAGAACACTTCCGTAGAAATGACCCCAAGACCACCCAGTGAGAGGCAGTTTCTGTAGCTGGTAGCACATGTAGACTCCTGCTCTTTCCAGGTGGGCAAGTGGGAAAAGCTGGGGGCAGCTTGCTGTACCCTAGGAGAGGGGTCGTGTGACATGGGGCGGCTTGCCTGACTCCAGCGATCTCTAGATCCCTCACCTTGGACAGAGACACAAACCAAATGATGTCACAGGCCACCCACTGCTACTTCTCAACCTATACATTGTGCCAGTAAACTTGGTCATCTGCACCGGTCCTCTTAGATTAACACACACTTCTTTTAACTACTGGGGAAATTTGAAAAGCTGTACAGTAAAAGGATCTTTTTTCAGTGATGAACTCAAGTTTTTGTTCTAGTACGTTGCGCTCATTATCAAACTGTTCTAAAGAAAAAGCAGTTACAATGATGTGGAAGATCATACAGATTATTTCTGAATCACTGGTTAAAACAGCTATGATAACTTAAAATATTTTTTATTAAAAAGAAAAAACATTATCATTTTCAAGTGAAAGCACTCACTGATGCACAAAAACATATCCCTAGGACCAAAACTATGTCATGGCAACTGACTCCACGCCTGAGCAATTAAAGGCAACCATTCTCCTAACAAGTGCTGTGGAGAAGCACTTGCCCGGCACGCAGCTCTCAGGGCCTTCAGTGTAGGCTCCCTGCTCCCACTGTCCCAGCACGCATCTGTGGCTGTGGCCACAGCACCTCGGGTCTTCCTGTGCCCAGGGGGAATGACTGCTCCTTGCTGCCCCTGGCCTGGCAACAGTGTGCTACAGCCCTGGGTAGCCAAGCTGGGGGTTCAGGATGGAACTGCCCAGAAGACAGAAAGAGGAACGAACTCTGTGGAAGTACAGTAGACACAGGGAGAGAGAACAGGAAGCCCCACACTGGGTAAGGTCAAACCATCCCTGCCAGCAAAGGGGATTTTAGGCAGTTGTGTTTGTTAAGGACATGCATTCAGATGCATGCCTCAGAACCCGGTAGTTCTGAGGTTTGTAGCAGAACATGGGTTCGAAGTGCTGCGTTAGAGAAGAGGATATGGGACCAAACTGCCGCTTGATGCCTCTCTTCCCTGTAAGGTAAACAATACTTCTGTTGAAGAAGCTTTGTGTCTCACGAGATCTCTCGGGTGCAGGAGCTGGTCCTGCAGGCAGAGAACAGAGCGAGCTCTTTGGTGGGTGCGGGAAGGTGGCCCTAGGACCTCCCATAAGCTGTCCTGGAGGTCCCGTGTTCCTGTGGGACTCTCGATGCTGCCAGACCCGAGTAATAAATGAAGAATTGACCTTGCAGGAAGCTGCCCAGCAGGAGGCGCTTATGATCAACAGCTGCATAATGCTCTAGCAAAGGCTCCAATCTTGGGAGAAACTGAGAACTTAACAGCACATTCTCTAACATTCTATGGGACTAGCTGCAGTGTCCCCTCCCCAGTGCCTCTAAAAGCCCGTTTCCTTCCGCTTTCCGGGTGGGCGCTCTGCGGAGGACCTCAGCGAGCCTGGCGGGCAGGACTTTCGGCACACTGTGCTCAGCCACCTTCCCTTCTCAAGTGCAGAAGTGTTAACCAGGGAGGGTTTCGGGAAGCTACTCCTCTGCCTTCCCTCCCACCGTGCGCAGGATGAGACAGCCGCTCCCATGTCTAAGGGAGTGAACTCTGCACCCTGGAAGAGACTGACTGAGCATCCTGCTTGCCTTTAACCATCCTGCCGCCGGACACTCCCTTCATCCCTCCCGAAACTCATACCCAATCTCTTACTCCCAGCTCTCTAAGAAGCAAATTTTGTATGTGAATGAAGCTCTAAGTATATTTGAGGCCATATCAGAATCTGGTGAAAACAGGACTAAAATTTAGAAAAGTAAACCTTTCTGTTTAGAGTCAGTGAAAGACGCGATGTTAGAACTACTAAGAAAACTGAGTCAGAGGTGGCTTGGGACACAATGGCTTGGGACACAAGATATCTATCTCCAAGAGACCACAGAGGGGTAACTGATGATTTACTTGAATGCTTGTTTTCAGCATGATGATGCCCCTATTTGTCCAAACAGATGTCTGAACATAGAACTTCAGCTTCCCAGAGAGAAACAAGCTGGTATTCGTGTGCTAATGATGAGGAACGTGATTGCTTTTTCTACTTCATCTTCGTAGTATTTAAACTTCCACATGGTCAACCACGGGGTACGTACTCATAGGGTTGAGGCCCAAACAGGCTGCCAGAAAAAAGGCATGCTTACAGGGGAGCTGGGTTGTGAGGTGCCGACTATTTCAGAGTTGTGTCCAGCCTTGACAAGAAGAGCACTGTGTCATGGTACTTGGTCTCTGGGGAAGGGCTGTGGGAGTCACAGCCATGAAGAACGTGGCCAGAACCTTCAAGAACCCTGGTGTCAACACTTTGAAAATGTGCTGCAGGGACATCCTACGAGCTTTATGCCCCCTCAGAAGAGGCCAGTTAATCCCTTAGAATTCTAAGGGCCGGCCTGATAGCTCAGTGGACTAAAGCGCCTGCTTCGGCAGAGCGCAGCGGCCGAGGTTCGATCCCTGGGGTGCTGTGCCAGCCCCACTCTGGAGTGTGCTGAGGTGGTAACTGAGACTAGGAGTGGTGGTGCACGCCTGTAATCCCAGCACTCGGGAGGCTGAAAACAGGAGGATCCCTACGAGTTCAATCTATGTAGTGAGATCCTGTAGACCCTGTCTTAAATACAGAAAAAAGAAAGAAAGAAAGAAAGAAAGAAAGAAAGAAAGAAAGAAAGAAAGAAAGAAAATGCTAATTTAGAATTCTAGACTGCTGCAGGAGGGAGATATTCGGAGATGAAGCAGTCCGGTTTCTCACCCAACACAGGAGATCTCTGGGCTGGCTCTACACCAACGCATAACAATCCAGGCCTGCAAAATGTCTTCTGACAGGAAACGCAGGAAGCAAGTCTGTTTCTGGCAATTTCTGGCCTTTGGAACTGAGAATGAGCTGAAACCACTGCTGCTACTTCAACCTTGGTTCTTCATCAGAATGTCTAGACTTTATCTATCAAAAATCTGACCTCCCTTCCACGTGACCAACCCTCTAACGGTGCTCACCTTAAGACTGCTCTGACTGAACTCCTCTACTCCTGAGTGCCCATCTGGTGGCAGAAGAGGGCTACGCTGTGCACACCTCCTGGTCCTATCCAAGGACAGAGCGCTGCAATGAGCACAAGGCTGCGCCTCACGGCTGAGACCCACAATGTCTGCGTGCGGATGTTGGCCAGGTCGCAGGGAGCCGTGTCCCCTAGTGGATCCATCTGAGGGTGGGTTCAGGAGCTCAGTGTGCTTTGGGGCTTGGTGGCACGTGACCTGGAGTACGTTCCTGGCCCCAGCCCCTCCCTGCTGCACCTGTTTTGAGCACCTTTTCCTCTGTGTTGCCCCCTCTGCCTTCCTATTTCTGCCCTGGAGCAGCTGGCCTCAAACTTCAACGGTGAGCCTGGACGAACCTTTCCCTTGAGCTGTGGGTGTTGAGTATTTTGTTCTAACAATGTTTGGAAAGTCATGAAGCCACTACTTCAGTTTTTGTCGGAACAGAGCACAATAGGATTTTTAATTCCCTAATGTGGCTGTCATACTTCCTTTAAAGGCAACTGATTTCAATTTTTTTTTTTTTACATTTATTTATTTGGTATGCAGTGGACATCTACCTGCAGGTTTCCAGTGCAGGCCCTCAGCTGTCCAGCTCGAGCTTCCAGTCATTTAATGGAGCCCTGCCTGCTGCCACCCAGACCCTGTGGTGAGCTCCAGGTCTCCCTTGTTGGCACCACAGCATGCACACAGCCCTCGCGCTCTGCACATCTGACCCTAGACGTGGTCACTGAAGCCTGCTTTGTAAGTCATGTACATACATGTATTACATACATAATTATTGTTATAGTAAATCTGTTAACATTCATTTTGAAAAGCCTGTGGGGTCTTTGGAGCACTATTTTCTGTAGTAATTCCAAACAGGGTGTTTTAATAATTTGCTCTAGAACACTCTCTGGGATCTTTTTGCCATTTTTGAAAGCTAGGCTGGAATACACCCACTTGTGGGTTTCAGGGATACTTTGGCTCTCCGTGATTTTTGGAATATTTGTGACAGTGGCTTCATTACTCTATTTGCTGCAAAGTAATTCTGACTTCTATATTAAACAGTGAACTTGCAGGCATTTATTTGAAAATGTGTCACTGTTGTGCAGCGTAATGTCAAGATTATGATACTTCAATGTTCCATAACTCACTCCCAAATCACACAGATGTTACAGTGTTTTACTTTCTACAGTACTATAAGTTAATAACAGGGAAAACTGACAACTGGGATATAATGTTAAGAGTAACTGAAATGTCCCATACCACGACCACAGTGGTGACTTTACAACCACAGGGAGGTAAACTTACCACGTCTGTCCTTTAAATGGAAGGATTTTATTGTCTGTAAAGTATACCTAAACCCCAAGGTTCAGTGTCAACTTGAGAAAGTGTAACTAAATCGGCTCAGCAACCCACACCTAGGCGCGCAGGCCCCGAGTGGCTCACGCCCTGAAGGACATAAAAGGGAACTGAGGAAGGGTGCAGCGCTCCACTTTCCTCGGAGGAGCTCTGGAGTCCTGGCTTCTAGCGCTCTCCTGGGCCTCCGCCTTGGATCCCTCAGCCTTCTGGTGTAGACTCACCAGCCTTCCGCCTCGGTCCCATCGGCCCATACGGACTCGCAGGAACGCTGCAGCGAGCTCCAGGCCTCGGACTGAATCTTTCAG